TATGGGGCCACGAAGCGTGTGAGGGGTGTGCCGAAATGTGTGTTTGGGCGCATGCGAGCCCAGTCGCTGGGGCCTTCGGTGGAGCTCCCTACGGGGCCACGAAACGTGTGAGGGGTGTGACGACATGGGTGGTGGGGAGGCATGCGAACCCTGCCACTGGGGCCTTCGGTGGAGCTCCCTATGGGGCCACGAAGCGTGTGAGGGGTGTGCGTGATCGGTGGTGATGATTGATGATGATGGTGATGATGATTGATGATGGTGGGAAGGAGGGAGGGGGGGGAGGAGGAGGGGTGAGGAACGCGGGGCGCCGTCTTTTCAAAACGAGGACCCAACACCACAGGATTGTTGGGAAACATTAGCCTGGCGAAGGACCCAACCATATGCAGCTGCGAGTACCGCGCGGATATGAGACGAAGGAGGGGGCACGCAAACTAGGCCCCCCTTCTCATAGGCACCGCGCCACTGGGGCCTTCGGTGGAGCTCCCTATGGGGCCACGAAGCGTGTGAAGGGTGTGCCGAAATGGGTGGTGGTGAGGCATGCGGACCCTGCCACTGGGGCCTTCGGTGGAGCTCCCTATGGGGCCACGAAACGTGTGAGGGGTGTGCCGAAATGGGTGGTGGGGAGGCATGCGAACGCAGCCACTGGGGCCTTCGGTGGAGCTCCCTATGGGGCCACGAAACGTGTGAGGGGTGTGCCGAAATGGGTGGTGGGGAGCCACTGGGGCCTTCGGTGGAGCTCCCTATGGGGCCACGAAACGTATGAGGGGTGTGCCGAAATGGGTGGTGGGGACGCATGCGAACGCAACCACTGGGGCCCCTTCGGTGGAGCTCCCTATGGGGCCACGAAACGTGTGAGGGGTGGGCCGGAATGGGTGAGGGGCGGCATGCCAACTCTGCCACTGGGGCCGTCGGTGGAGCTACCTATGGGGCCACGAAACGTGTCAAGGGTGTGTCGACATGGGTGGCGCGGACGCATGCGAACCCTGCCACTGGGGCCTTCGGTGGAGCTCCCTACGGGGCCACGAAACGTGTGAGGGGTGTGCCGACATGGGTGGTGGGGAGGCATGCGAACCCTGCCACTGGGGCCGTCGGTGGAGCTCCCTGTGGGGCCACGAAACGTGTGAGGGGCGTGCCAAAGTGAGGTGGGGGCGGCATGCGAACCCTGCCACTGGGGCCTTCGGTGGAGCTACCTATGGGGCCACGAAACGTGTGAGGGGTGTGCCAAAGTGGGGTGGGGGCGGCATGCGAACCCTGCCACTGGGGCCGTCGGTGGAGCTCCCTATGGGGCCACGAAGCGTGTGAGGGGTGTGCCAAAGTGGGGTGGGGGCGGCATGCGAACCCTGCCACTGGGGCCTTCGGTGGAGCTCCCTATGGGGCCACGAAGCGTGTGAGGGGTGTGCGGAAATGGGAACTATCGGCGATGGCGATGATGATGATGATGATGATGATGATGATGACGATGATGATGCTGGTGGTGATGACGATGATGATGCTGGTGGTGATGATGACAGGATGGTTGGGAACGAATGGCGATGGCGATGATGATGACGATGCTGATGCTGGTGGTGATGATGACGAGGATGATGATGATGATGATGAAGATGAGGATGATGATGATGACGATGAGTATGATGACGGCGATGGGAGGAGGGAGGGGGGGGGAGAGGAGGAGGAGGAGAGGAGAGGAGAGGAGAGGAGACGCGGGGCGCTGTCTCTTCAAAACGAGGACCCAACACCACAGGATGGTTGGGAACAAGTAGAATATATTCAGAACCCAGTTATAATTAGATAGAACACATTTCGACCCCAATTAGAACGCACTTAGAATCCAATTCTAGCTCAAGTAGAAGGTGCTTATAATTTCAATAAAATGCTATTAGAATGCAGCTATCGTATACTTAGAGCACACTCATGATATAGTAAGTGTCCAATTCTAATACAAGTAGAACGCAAGCCGACACGAATGCGACGTGTGGAATTGCAGTTTATGTTGGGTTTGGTATAACAACTTGTATACACGGAGCACAGAACCATAGTGCACGAAGGTGACGTGTGGAGCACAGAAAGTAACAATTACCCCAGTGCGACCCTACCTAGAAGTTGGAACCCTTAGGAAAGCAGCATTAGTTGCTATGCTATGCTATGCTATGCTATGCTGCGCTATGCTGTGCTGTGTTATGTGATGTTGCGCTCGGCTATGCTGTGCTAGGCTAAGCTATGCTATGTAATGCTGCGCTGTGCGATGTTAAGCTATGTTATGTTATGATATGATATGCTAAGCTGCGCTATGCCATGTTATGCTATGCTATACTATGTTATGCCATGCAGCGCTATGTTGTGCTATGCTGTGCTATGATATAATGCGCTATGCTATGCTATGACGTGTTCTGCTATGCGAAAGCTCAGCGGAGCTAAGACGAAGGTAAGCTAAGCTAAGGTAAACCTGAGCTTAGATGAAGCTAAGCCAAGCTAAGATGAAATGGGCTAAGCGAAGATGAGA